CGCAAAAGAGGAGAGCACTTTGGGAGGGGGTGGGAAGGGGGTGTGGGGTTATAACGGGCGCTGCTAGTTGAGTTTATTCCCATTGTTGCTAGCATGTTAGATCATGAAGCTTTCGGTAAGGCAAAAAAGCTGGATATTAAGTTTACAGTCGTTTAGTTCTTAAGAAAACGAGAGACTTATTATCGTTAGTATAAAATTAATCCTAACTCAACCCCTATATCATTTTTCGTTGATTATGTAACTCATTGGTTATTAAAAATATCATAGCTTTTTCAAAAATCTGCTAACTACTTGCGCCGCATATTTAGTGCAAACGTTTCGACTTTAGGCACATAGGTCAGCCTGTAGATTTCTAGAAACTTTCATGACGAGCGAGGTGAACTGCGCCATTGACGATTACTCTTGGAATACATCGAAATTCCTTGCCAACCGGTAATCATTGTACACAACCCGCATAAAGCTGTACAGTAGGGGAGCCTCTACAACTTTAGCTTGCTATAAAATTAAAAACACTTTTATTTTACTTGAAGTGACGGAATCAGATACCTCGGATCTTATTAGAATTTTATATTTTGGAAAACTTCCTCCGAAAACGGACTGGGTCTATCTTTAAAAAAGGACGCTTTCAACTATTATCAAGCAATTTCTGCTTCAGTACTGCAATAAAGAAGCAACGGCAGCACAGTTAACTACTAAAAAACGTGATCAACTTTACCGATTTTTTGCTGCATATCAAGTTACACTCAGTATGGACATCGATATAAACACTGGATGATGTATAGCATTAGAGTCCGAGTTGATTTGAAGATTAGATGATAGTAATATTATGTACGAATTGTACGAATCAACCATAGCATAGCTCTTTTGAGAGGGACCAGCTAGCGGCGCATTGAAGCACCTTTCAAAAATCTTTAACTGAACTTGTATAGTTTGCGAAGCGCATACATACCTAACGTATTTTTGAACCATCGCCAAGGTCGTTTTCTTCGCCTTTCTTGGTCGTTTAGTGATGGAAATTTCTGGTAAAACTGATTTGAGTAAGCTGCCTGTGTTTCTTACCTCCACTGCTTACAGAGTTTGCAAGCTCAATGCCCAACTACATCGTTGCCAGTTTTGACCGGGACTTCAGACAGAACCGCTAACAAATATTACAAAGCGACAAATCTTTCTTATTTGACAAACAAACTATTTATTAATAGAAAAAGCTGACATGGTAAAATAAGAGGTACATGTTACACTCATTTGAATATTGGAATCAAGCAAACAGAATATATCATGTAATAAAAATGAGCATGCATATCAATAGTTACAACAGTAGTATTCAAAGAGGGATTAAATAAATTTTCCTGAAAATTTTTCTTCTGCTT